TAGATATACCAGCGGCCGACAAGTTTAAAGAAGCGGTCCTGCTACTCTTGAGAGTAATTTAGACCGCTGCGCACCCCCCCCCACCCCCCTCTGCGTATTTTACCCCAACTGAGGGGTGTTACCATGGTCAAGATAAATGAAAAATTCTAGATTTCTGGCGGCTTGTATCGGTACTGCAGTGATATGATCTGGACATGGTGGGGTAACAGCGCGGTTTCATAGTAAAGATATCATGAGAGATATGCAATCCAGTTAAAATTGCATGCAAAACACAGTTCTAAACGACCAATTGGTATTTCAAATGCTGATTAAAGTCTATACGGATCAGGTACGGTGTGTCAGAGTTCAGGTATCTGTTTGTTTTGGCTTTAGGATATATAATCCAGTTTGTTATATATAATAAATTTCCGCGTCACTCTGCCAGAAACCTGGGCCCTGTGTAGTGGCAGCCAGTCTCTGAACTCACAGTCACGAGTTGTAGGGTGTCTTGGGACCAATCTTTCCACGGTGCACCGTCATGGTTTCTGCGTTTCGTAGAATTAATAATACTGACAGGAAATGACTTGAACCAAAGACAAAACCCGCACCATGCAGTACGTGGCACATACATGTAAGTGAAGGAAATGGCCGGAGTAAGAAGTCTTTTCTGCGTTGTCCTGGGTTTTCTGTGCGTCTTGGGGAGTCGTGGGCAGACAGGTAGGATGTTACTTTTGTCTGGTGGTAGAATGAAATGTAGTTATAACGTTACTGTTTTTGCTCGTTTGTTTGAACCATTCTTTATTCAACAAAGGCTATAAGAATCATTACGCTATGAGCCAGAGAAAACCTGTCATTGGTATACATTCAAGTCAGAACTTCATTTCCCTTCTCAACAAAGTAAGTCTTTGATTATTTAGGAATGAGCGAAGACCTTTAGTGTACACACATACCCACAGGGTGAAGTACTAGGTCACGTACAACGAAATAATAGTATAATAGATAACGTTGTAGTATACAGAAACAAAAAAAAAACTACATGTGAGCGAATTCGACTTCTCGCTTCACCAAGGCTAAGTTTTTGGGTCCATTTGTCTGTGTACATGTATGTGTGAACACAGGTGACACATTGAGTTAGGATCATGTTACTGTCGTCAGGTGGTAGAATGGAAAGTTCGTGGTGGTTTTATTTTCGAAGTTCCAGCGTGAATAGTAGTGCCTGGTAACCTGAGTCTGTCGTGGGCTTGCCAGGCATGTTGGCGAGATCGCGCGTGTTGGTTTTCAAATATCGTACTGTATTCGACCGATTGTACAAATCTTCTTAGCAGAGGCTATTGACAGGCTGTGTCTGTTCATTAGACTTTTTCTCACTACTGACAGGATGTTTGGCAAGGTGATCACTCAACCGACTAACTTAGCTAATGTCGTGTCCGGATGTCTATCAGTACTTCCAATAGACATCAGATTCAAGTACGATAGGATACATACCTGAGGGCTGTCTCTGTTGCATTCCAAAACGTGTTATTCCAAATCATGATTTGGAATGGACCACGTTTTGGAATGCAGCAGGCATTCCACATGTTGTATTCCAAATCATATGGCCCAGCTGGATCACGATTTGGAATGTTCTAAAACGTGACCGGCCATGCTGTCAATCACAAATGATTGACAGGAGTGGTGATTAATTATTCATTCCGAAGTTTCCATATTTGGTCCGTTGGCTGCCTGTATACAGATACTGTGTTAAATCACGTCGTGTTTACTAGTACTTGTCTGAACATGTCGTCGAACTTAGCGTGCCAAAGGTATTAGTACGTTCGAGCTGTATGGGGAAAATGACGTCAATGAACAGTACGATAATGTTCTTGGTATGATGTTTCATAGTCTGGTTCTGGTCTGAGTTTATCTTCATCAGTGTGCGGTCCTAAATGGTCGGACGCTCGCGCATCCGTTTCTCATTTATATAATATTTTCCCGCTAATAGAATCACGTGATAGTTGTTTATACATAGAAGAGAGAACGTAATTTATAGCAAGGAGCTTTCATTTCTAGTTAAAACTTTTGATATTTAAGTGAAGTTTGTAAATATTTAGCATTACTTTGTGTCATTGAATTACGCAAATAAGCCTAATTTTGTAAGAATGTGGTCTCCACGGCCCATATGGGATATCTAGCCACGATATGGAATATTCCGAAACGTGCTCCAGACATGTTTTGGAATATTCCATTTCATGTCCTTTCTCTAGGCACGTTATGGAATATTCCGAAACATGTTTCAGACACGAAATGGAATATTCCAAAACGTGCTTCAGACATGTGGGCTTGGGAAAGGGCTTCGACAACAACAGTTTGTGTGGAGTTGTTGAGTTTGAACATTTGTTGATGAATTTTTAGATTGTGAAAGGGATGGACGCCACAGTTGCGTGTGAGCCATGCTTCGGTTACCGCCAGTACACGGCCGAAGCATAGTTGTGTGTGGTGTCCGACGGGCATGCCGTGACTAACACCGAGGAGGTTTAGAAGGTCAAAATATAGAGGCCGACAGCATGGGCAAAAGCTACCAATTTGAAACTTTGGGAAATATTTGACGTTAATCATGATTTAGATAGTTGACACAGGTATTCTAAAACGCGCGTGTGACATTTTGAGACTCCCATTTCATCATTAAAGTTTACACGTCTGACAGCCTGTAGCTATAATGGAACGCTAAGCGTTACAAAACATGCCCAGACACGTATCATTTAGCCACGCCCTCAGAAGTTCGAAGCTCCGCCCCCTAAGTACGAGGCTCCGCCCCCAGACACGTGATTACGAAAAGTCATGCTTTCGAATGCATCACGTTTTGGAATGCAACAGGCATTCCACATCGTGTTATTCCAAATCATGTTTTGGAATGGACCACGTTTTGGAATGCAGGTGCATTCTATTCCAAATCATGATTTGGAATGGACCACGTTTTGGAATGCAACAGTCTCTATCTTTATTGTCGCGCGCCTACGTAACGTTATACCTCGACTAGTTAAATAACGTAAAAAAACTAATCCGTCACGCACGATCACAAACGTCCGTCTGCGTTACCACCGATATGTTGGCTCTTTGTGTACTAAATTTCGTTGTAATACAATAAGCCTATTCGCCATTACCGGCGCGAAATGCATGATGGGTAATATCCGCCATTTTGAGAGATAAACAAAACCGCGTCGCCCCGCGACACAGCGAGCGCGGGTGTCGAATCCCGCTACGTAGCTAAAAAAATGAGTTTACCCGGGCCGTAAGTGGAGATTTTATATCTTATTGGACGGCAAAGATGACAGACGTTTCTTGGTTGAGGTTAGACTGCCGGTAACTGCCGGTTTTCAAGGCGTTTCCGCGAGTCACGTCCAGGGGGAAAAGCCTACAACTTCAAGGCGCATACAACTTCGTATGCTTAAAAGAATCACGACGCGGTTGCCGAATTCGCCGAAGACAGCAGCAGGTTCAGTTGTGAATGTCAAGAATTATAGTCAAGAATAAAAAAACTCACCTATTCTCGGCCCGGTGGGCTTCACGGAAGGGTAGTTCGTCGAACCGAAGGACGACGTCAAAGGATGCCCCTCCCCCCGCACTTAAAAGTCGGCCCAGCACTGATCATGAGTTAGCGAGCCGGCCCTGTGCCTCCCATACTACGTAAACGGCTGTCGGGCGACTATGATGAGGAGAAAACATACTCCTACTTCGACTTTGAATGGGTAAGCGAAGTCCCTTACCACCATATTACCCCAACTGCAGACAGAAATTGCTTCCTCAAACGACTAGGCACATCTTACCTCCTTAGTCCACACCGTCTTGGCCGCGGAGACGAACTTGTCCACAGACCCAGGATACAGAACCCAAGACATAACAGTAGTATTCAAGCAACCATGGCATTAATTTTCTTTGAAGAACCTTGTGTTTAGTAAAGGATTGTTGCATGTTGCCAGTACTACTTGTGTTAGTGTACAGGTCTTTCTCAACATATATGGCGGGCATTGTATATTTAATATTATATTTCCTATGCACCATTCATTAAGTGCTGTCCACATATAGAGAGATATGGGAATAAGAAAAATATCAAAATGGTGCTTGTTTTGTTTTCTTTATAGTATATACATGTATGTAACAGTACAATCAGTGTCCAGGGAAATAGTAATTGAAAGGTTATCTGAGTTGGTAAGTTACATATTTTATTAAAAAAAACTGTTCTCCAACTCAAGAAATTTGAGTTTTCAACTATATCTGTCTTCATCAACTATCTGAGCCAAGTGCTGTGGCATTATATTTTCTACATCACTTTGATTGCAGAGCTGTTTGTGTGTTAACACAGTAAGTTTATGTTTAACGGTGCTTGTATGTTTTCTATCACAGTGTGAATGTTTACAGTAATCTAGTAATCGCCATCGTACAACCTATGCTGTCTAGCAAATATTATTTAGTATTTAGACAATAAACCGGATAGTGAATGTGAGTGAGTATGTAGTACTGTCGATGCAGTTAACTGACTTGTTTTTCTGTGTTTGGTCAGAAAAACAACAAGAGAGTAGTTACAAATTAAATATTCCACTTTCAAGATCCAAACGCAGGGGTCAGGTGTTTGGTGTAAGTAGTGTAAATGACTGGAGTTCTCTACATACACCTGATCTTATGGTCAACAGTCAGTGGAAAAGATCTTAACTTAAGTACTAGTACTTAGACCATCACTGGGAGCACCTGTGGTGCAGGCACGAAGGAGTCAACTACACCAGTTCACCACAGCTTTCTCAACTGCATGCGGAAAACGGTATCTTAAGTGGTAAATATAATGTTAATGACTTGACATCATGTTCAAATATATTATTTTCCACTAATTCAAGTTAATAAGTGAAAAGATAATCACATTGAATCTATTTACAGCAGACCCTTGTTAGACTAAAAGTCTGTACCAGTTTAGCAGTATTACTGCACAGAACTATCAAAATTCAGTACATAAAATATCTGTCATGATTACAATTTGCAGCACTGTTTATGTGCGGGTTACAATATACTTTCATGAAACCATTTCAGAACCTAAGTGTACTTGTATTTTTAGTATATTCCATCTGGGTTTGGCTTCAAGCTTGTTCATAAGTTTATTCCCTCTTCTCCTAGCATGAGGTTTTTTTCTTCTCATAGGAAAATGGTCCACTTTTTGTACCATGTATTTGGCATGTCTCTTCCATTTTTCTAGATGGTAAGTTGAATTGCTGCAATTCACTACTGCACACAGCTTCATGTTGAGGTCGGGAAAGTAACACTGTAAAAAGAAGAAGAGAGAAAAATTGAACCAAAAGTTGATGGATTTACGTTCAAAACATCAAGTCTTGAATGCACTAATGCAATGGCATTTGCATGCACAAAACCCCCATGGCCCTATGCATCCCGCTACGAAAACCACACTAAATATTTATAAACATATAGATGTCATCACTGCTTGTACTATTCCTAAATCATTATTTTAATCGGTAATAATGTCGTGGTGAGACGGTGAGGATTGTGGTTAGAAAGCTCTATGTGCTTGGGGTGACACAAGAACACGTAGTGTATCGGTCTTCTGAAGACAAAGCTCATGCAGTTTATTTACAATTTTTACCGACTAAAACTGAAAAATTCCACCATTATCTTACACAAATAACCACTCTTACACGAAAAAAAGGTATTCCAAAACTCGTTTTATCGAGATTGGACCGGAAAATTGAGCGGAAAACGTGAAGACGGAAGGCGTGCAGGATGGGGGAGGGGGGCATGCATAAGTAATTAGGCGCTAGCGCTAGCTTGGATACCGTCAAAAAACGTACCGTAAATCCACTTGAAGATAAAGATATCGCGATATTTAAGGCAAGATAGGTCCAAAACATCGTTGGAACTCAGCCCAAGGCGGGCCACCACCGGTAACGCCGTGTGTAAGCTGGAAATCGAGACATACGCTGGCGCTGGGGACGATTGCGGCCGCGGGTTTGTTTATCTCCAATTCTGCGTCGCTAAGTAAACTCCGCGCAGGCGCACTAGTAATGGCGAATAGGCTTATTCATGGTTTTTACGTTTAGAAAATAAACCCAAGTCACGCATGTACCCATCGGGAGAGCCAAAGTTCACCCGTGTCACGGCGGTCTGTCACTACGGCATTCTTTCCCATTGCTGGGGGCGTTCGATAAAGTATCGGGTTACAAGACCCAATTTTGGGCTAACCGTAAAACATTTGAAAATAAACAAACTAGTATCGAAGGGAAAATTTCGTTGAAATAAAATAAAATTATTGTCTTCACATACATTCAATGGTGATTTTTTGCGCTAAATGGATGATTTTTTCGTACTTCGTTAAAAAAGTCGATAATTGTCGGGATTTCGCAGCGTCATATTTTAGCCAATAACCGAGCAAACCTGGCTACACATATTACGCAAGATCACTGATTTTTATGTTTTTCGACGACTACGAATAAGACTAAAAATCGTGCTTTTGGGATTTTTCAATTTCTGACTATAAGTATAGTTTTTGTTGACAAATAGGTGAAAAAATCGAATTTTTTGGCTTTTTTCGCACTCAATTACCCATAATTTAAAATCAAACGCATTTTTCAAAAATCCCAAAAGCACGATTTTCGGGACAACCGTGACAGTCATTTTGAGCCGTAAATGGGGTATGTTTGACTCTCCACGCTTCCAGGTTTGAACGAGTTTTGCAGACATGTCATATCTCCCAAAAGTGTGCACCGTGTTATTCATAAAGGCGTAAAGAATCATTACAGTATTCAAGGTCACCCAAGGATACGACAGTAGCTTCGCTACATGTTACATATCCACAAAAAATGATAGCGGACATGTACTGTCCTGGAAACTGTTCGTATCTATAGAAAAGTGTTGTTTTTTATTTGTTGCGAGTCACTCAGGCAGAAGGGCTTGTTTTGCCGCTTTATTGTAAATGACCGCAGGTGACCCCGAAATGGAACGTGGGTTCGATTCGAATTGCCCAGATCGAACACGATCGAACACTGTTCGGATT